AAAATTTGGGATATTACAGAACTCTTGACCCCAACTTGGATTTCTTCTTTTAAACCCCTAACAAAGAATTATCCAACAAATTGTTCTAAAAGATCATTCTATATTTGAGCTTTTCAAAACCTAGTTAAATTTCCATAATATTTAGGAATTTTATTGGTTTGAACAAGATACATCCACTCAATTTCTAAATTTTGTCTATTCTCTTCAATAATAAACCAATGACTCATGTCAAAAAGGTAATCCTTCCATGGGGGATATCCTGCTAGCAAAAACCTACTTTTAGTCCCTCATCTTACCAAGTTTCAAGGTTTTAACCCTTCACCTTATATTATAACACTTTAACCCCTCACCTTACTAAATTTGTAAGTTTTAGCCCCTCACCTTATTAAAATCGAAGAAAATAATCCTCATTTTATATTGACTGTTAACTATGTTAGCTAAAAGTAAGTTTTTGTCAACTAATAGTCAACTAATAGTTAGTTAATAAAATGAACAAAATATTATAAAGTTAGTTCTATTAATTCTAACAACTAAAAGAAAGTTTTTGTCAATTAACAGTCAACCAACAGTCAGCTAACAGAATTAACAAAATGTTAAAAAGTGAGGGCTATTTTTTTCAATTTTAATAGGTGAGGGGCTAAAAGTATCATAATATAAGGTGAGGGGTTAAAAGTGTCATAGTATAAGGTGAGGGGCTAAAAGTAGGCTTTTGCCTATCTTGCCTTGCCTTTGCATTGCATATAGGCATTGTGCCATCAAACTGCCCTTCCCAATAAGTACCCACAAGTTATTTGTACTTTAAAATTCACCATTAATTCTAAGAAAATAATTTGTATACTCTCTAGTTTGACATACTTTTTAACATTTGTCCAATTCAACTTTTAAAAAATAATATATGTATAGTCAATTTAGCTAGTTCTTGCATACTTTATGCATGATTGTATTTTTAAGTTTATCTATCTTTAATTTCAATAATGTGGATTCGCAAAATCAAGGACCCAAAACTATGGGTTGCTTCTCCTATTATAGGCTAGCCATTAAGAGCATTAGGGGAGAAAGTAGTAGAGAGCATTAGGGGAGTGGAAAGTCAGTCTAAGAGAGCAAAGAGGAAAGCCTATGGAAAAAAAAAGGGGGGGGGGGGAATTAGTCCAAGAGAGAAGGGAGCCCGTGAGAATGTTGACTCAATATTAGGAACTTGTTTAGTAGTTATCTATTTGTTAGGTTGTTGTTATTTAAGATTATATTAGCTTGTTATCATTCAAATATGTTAGGATTGTTAATTAGTGAAACATCCCTACCCTTAAATGTAAAAATATTGAAAGTTTAGTCCTTAAATGTTAGAAACTTAATAGTTGAGGTCTTGTACTGTTAAGAGAAGTTTAGGGACTGATATCATTACAATGTTTATTGAACAAATGGCTTGGTAGACTAATGATATGTAAATTGTGCATTTGGCATGTAAGTGCACAACAATGAGAGAAGTATAGTGGAATGCATTAAAATCCCATTAACTTTGGTCAGAATTAGGATGCTTTTAAAGGGGTAAGACCAAAACAAATTTCATTTTTTTCTTCTATTCTAGCACCAAATGAGCAAAATAGAAATAAAGAAGGAGTGTTGGCCTTACAGCAAGGGCAACAGCAAAACTGAGTCTTGAAAGAGTTTAGGATCCAACCTCATTTAATCTGAGGTAAGTAACTTTTAAGGTTAACAAAATTAAGTTAACTTCTTTGAAGTGTTACCTTCGCTATGGTTTTTATCAAACAAATTGAATGAATTGTAAAAGAAGGCGTGGAGATGATGAATAGCAAGAAGCATGAAGATTAATTTTAAAATGAAATGGTATCATTAGAGTTTGGGACTCCAATTTTTATTAAGAGTTAGAAGTCAAAACTGATATACACCTTTTTGATATTATAATATAAAGAAAGTGTGCATCAATTTCATGTTAGAAAGTAGAACCTAGTTTTTAGCCATTATCTCTATAATTTAGGAAATTTAAGTTGTTTATTTGTTTTTCTTATTATTTAGGTTGTTATAATTTAAAATAGATTTGATAAGTTGAGATTATTGGTTAGTTATTTTTTTAAAGATAAAGTTATCTTGTAAAGCCTATTTAAAGGCTAGTTTATTTTCATTTTAATGTGAGTTTGATTTTCATTCCATTTTCTTCTTCTTTTGAGTCCTCGGTTTCTTAACATTTGGTATTAGAGTCTATTCTCAACAGATTCCATGGCTTTGGAAAATTATGTTTAGCCCTCAATCCTTCATTTTGATGGTCATCACTATGACCATTGGAGTATGTTGATGGAGAATTTCCTTAGGTCCAAACAGTATTGGACAGTTGTTGAAGCTAGAATTCTAGAACTAACGGCAGGTGCAGATGATGCATAGAGGGTAGAAATTGAGAAGGAAAAGTTGAAAGATCTCCAAGCTAAGAACTACTTGTTTCGAGCCATTGATCAGGTTATCTTGGAAACAATCCTTAACGAGTCTACTTCTAAGACTATTTGGGATTCCATGAAGAAGAAGTACCAAGGGAATGAGCAAGCAAAGCGGTAGCAGTGCTAGGCTTTGCGAGCATAATTCGAAGGCTTGCAAATGCAGATTAGTGAATTTGTAGATGATTATTTTTCAAGGACAATGGCAATTGCAAACAAGATGAGGATCCATGGTGAACATTTGGAAGATGTTGCTACAGTTGAGAAAATTCTTTCGTGTATGACAACAAAATTCAATTATGTTGTTTGTTCAATTGAGGAGTCAAATGATATTGAGGCACTTTCCCTTGATGAGTTGCAAAACTCGTTGTTAGTTTATGAGCAGAAGATAAACTGCTAAGACAAGTAAGAATAAGCAGTGCAGATTTCGCATATGCAAGCCTTGCATACCACAATTAATTCATGGGCTGTAGGTTGAGGAAAAGGAAACTAAAAAGGAAAATTGAGATCTGGCAGATCAGAGGAAAGTTCAACCACTAGAAATTAGAAGAGGTGGCAAAATAGAAGTTATCAAGCTGCAAATAACAAATCCAAGTTTGCAGGCAAGGCAAATGTTGAATGCTTCAAATGTTATAAGTATGGCCATTTTCGTTGTAAGTGCCAAATAAAGGAGAAAGTTCTAACTTTGCAGAACACAAGGAGAAGAATGACGATGCCTCTTTATTCATGGTCTATCATTCTAAAGAAGTCAGCAAGAAGAATGTGTGGTATCTGGATACTAACTGCAACAACCACATGTGTGGAGACAAATCTGTGTTTCTAGATCTAAAGGAGTCTTTCAAGACAAGGTGAATTTTGGTGATAATTCTACTATTACAATAAAGGAAAGGGACAGGTAGCCATTTGTGCCAAAGACAATTTCAGTTCAAACTATTGCTAATATTCTGATGAAAACCCCAAAGAGAACAATGAGACCCACAGCACGACAAGGGATTTCTAAACTCCAGGAAAGCTAAATCAGGTTTATAATAGGACCTTGACCCATTGTTTATGTCGCAACAAGAACCAAAGGTAAAAACCTTGACCCGTTGTCT